AATGCACTTCTATAACAACAGAATACACAGTAAACATCAGTTATTCTACTAAAAATGGTATATACATATACCTTACTATATTACAACAATGCACTTCTATAACAACAGAATACACAGTAAACATCAGTTATTCTACTAAAAATGGTTACATATACCTTACTTTATTACAACAATGTACTTCTATAAGAACAGAATACACAGTAAACATCAGTTATTCTACTAAAAATGGTTACATATACCTTACTTTATTACAACAATGTACTTCTATAACAACAGACTACACAGTAAACATCAGTTATTATTTTTCTGGGAAGAAGAAATAAGATTAAAACCTTCACTTTTTTATTTTATTTATAAACAATCGATTGGTAAAGTAGTTTATTAGAAATTCATTTTATAGTAAAAGTTGCTTTAAAACAAATTAAGTGTGCAGGAATACTGTGTTATATTTAAAACAGGGGACATTTGTTTTATGCATAGACATTTTTTGATTAACAGTTCAAGGTCGGAATTACCATTGCAAAGAATGGTGAATTCTGAGTGATTTATCGGATGTCCAGTTTCATGTCTGTGATTCTGGATTGCCAAATTGGGTGGACTTAAAAGGATGCTATCTGACCTCAGTGATACTGAATGGTAAAACGTCATTTAGTTTTCCCGATATAGGCTGCCTTACAGTCACCATATGTGTATATATACAACCCAGAAGTGAAGAGAGATAGATAGATGATCCTTTGTGTTAAAGAGATGTTTTAATCTAAAGGATGGTTTGAAAATGATGTTAAGTTTGACCTGTAGGTACAACTTTTTCATTAAAGATTGAAGTTGTTTAGAAAGTGTGGTACTTTAATGCCCTAGGTAAGAGATGGTCAGTGAAACCCGAGCATTTATCAACTGTGAACATTTTTATGGGAGTTTTAAATCTTTTGTTCAGAAATATCCTGGTGAGGCTTTCAATAATTTTTTTAGAGCATCCATTATACAATAATATTTCATGAAGACAAATAATCTCAGAATGTACAATTAAATAAGTTGAACAGGTTTTAAATGGTCAGGTCAGTATACATGTTACTAGGTTGATCTTATATCCTACAGGAATGAAACTTGGGTGAGTTGTTCTATGAATGTTTTCTTTCGATATATTGATGTTAAAAAACTTTGAGCATTTCAAGTAATTAGCACGTCTAGAAAAGGTAAGGTATTCTTTTCTTCAATATTATAGGTCAATTGCACAGAAGAGTGTTGTGAGTTTAAATACTCAAGAAACTGTTGAACTTCGTCTTTTGGTCGAAAAATGATGAAAGTGTCATCAGTGTAGTATTTGTAAAATATTGGTTTGAATTTCTTTGGGCAGTTGTTCAACCAAAACTGTTTGTGGTGCCTCAAAATATGTTAATTAGAGTCGGTCCTAGTGGGGATCCCATAGCCACTCCATCAATTTGGTCATATAGTTTTCCATTAAACACCAAATGGATGTTCTTTACAGAATGGATAATTAAAGATACAAGTTGTTTTTTAATTAAGCCATGAACAAGAGACTCCTCTTGAAAGCGTTTTTTCAAAGAAATGTCAATGGTCTCAACCAATGGAATGTTTGTGAATAAAAAATTTATATCAAAACTAGCCATAAAACATTCATTGGGAGGGTGTAGATCTTTTAACTCTTTAACAAATGAGAATGATACCAGAACAATAAATTCATTAAATGTTAATGGTTTAGGAATAGGTACAAGGAATTTAGCTCCTTTATAACTGTATGTTCTGATTGCTGAAAGTATAGGACATAATGGATGATTCTGTTCATGAACCTAATGTAGACCATAAGAATTTTACAGCAAGTATTCATTCATTAATTAGTTAGACCGCATATTTTAGTTTTACACATCATCATGGCCAAAGTTGAACAAAAAATGTGGCCTGGCTAACTAATGAATGAATATTTGCTGTAAATTTCTTGTCAATGCTATAAATGTAGCTACCAGTTTGGCTGCAAATTTTGATTTAATTTCTGTAAGTCGCACATTCAGACGTTATTAGGCTACACCTTTTTTTTTTCACTTACCTAAGGTATTGTTAATTATATATTCTATTATTAAACATTTTATTCTACACTATACAGCCAAGAGTTAAGTGGTCAAGCAGACTCATCAAATCCTAAAGAAATTACTCACCTTTGTTGAATTTTTGTAAGTAGTGCGATTCTAAGACAGTGACCACCTTTACGTAACCCTTCTTCTCTGCTAGAGACTTAGCTGTATCACCGTCTGCAGATTTACCTAATGGATTAGCTCCCTTAAATAAAGAGAAAATCATCAAAATCTACACTTCTTTTGATGTAATCTGCAGCCATTGTGAAAATTTAATTATAAAGCTACACAAAACATCTTTAAAACTAAGTTAAATATAAAGCTTGATATAGTTTAATAAAACCAGTTTTTTCACTAATAATGAATTAAAACTACTGATACACCCATAGGAAAATAAATCATTATCATTAACTATTGAAATTCTAGAATGTAACTAACTAAATCTTATTTGTAAATTAAATTTGGTATTTCATATGTTAGGGTCTTCCCGCTGTGACAGATGTAGTCAATGTACTGCTTTACATTATACAGGAAAAACACCAAAACCCTAGCTTGTACATGTGTTACTTAGAAGAAAGACTTCCAGAACTTAATTTTATCATAACAGTACACTGGATGTTTTCAAGAAACAAGTTTAACCCTAATTCTTTATGCCCCAATTCTTAACTGAACTAGACAAATACATGTTACAAATTTAAATTAATAATGTAAACCATAAAGACTATGTACATGATTCAGGATACTTACCACTGTATTAAACACATATGGACTGCATGTTTTGTTAATATGCATAAGCCTAGAGTTTACCATTTCTTTACATTAATCTGTTTGTTTGTTTTATCACCACAGATATCTTTTACTGCACATGACACAAGGTTTTAGTGTCTTACATTCAAAATTTCATTAAACTACTTTTTGTTTATGCTATACCAATTATAACAGCATAAAATCTTAACTAATAATCCATAGTTTAAAAGTTTTAATTCTACAAGGCAATATCTAAAAAAATTCTGAATTTCCACTAGTGTGACCCACATGACACATTTTCTCTTAGCAAGTCATCATCCCTATTTTATCCATCACCCCTCGAAAAAGTACAAAATTAAACTTAAATTAATTTCTATAAAATCGTTATTGCTCAGACAAACCATAATATTTATAGCCTTCAATTTTGTTTGGTTACAGAGCTATCAAATAGAAAATCAGACCCCTCCTGCCACACCCATCTGTCACATCCTCTCTTTCAGAATTCATTGATAGTTCTCTCTTACGTTTCATTACATATTACTTATAACCAATAGAAAGTAAAGGTTTTCATCTATCAAATGACATATTGTATAACATTATGTTCTGAACAGTTACATGTCAATTTCACTAAGAGTACCAACATCGTTCCTGAGGGAAAGTTAACGACTATCTTGGATGAATTTGTAACAGCTCTTGTCGCATAGTTAGAAAGCCAGAAAAGTTTTGAGATGCAAGTGAATTTGTCTACTTTTTGCATGTTATTAGTCTGTATTGTTTGGTGCATTATTTAATTAAATAAAAATTACTAAGTGCATTACTGTCTTAGTATAAAGAATTAGGGTTAACTCTCTTCGAAAACTGACAGCAAGAAAAAAGAAAATTAGTTAAGTATTTATTTCTTGTTTTTCATGTTTATTCTCTATGTATAATAATAAAAGTAACTAAAATGTAAAAATAGGGATCCTTTTAGGTTTGTTACGATTAGATTAGGTAAAATAAATAATAATAATAAAATTATAATAAAAATGTTTCATGAGGCACAAATGCAAGCAGCTCGTGGGTAATGTAATTCGTTAGCATCACATGAGCTGCATGCCCCCCCCCCCAAGTGATTTACAACTTATAATGGTGCAGACAGTAGTTAGACATGGTTCAAAGGGCAATAAAACAATAAAATGTAATTATAAATAGATGTATAATGTTACGAACTTAGAGCTACTTTGGATAAAGAAATGTAGTTTCATGTTACAATTTGAAGTCATTCTAGAAAGAAAAAAAGGGTAATTTAGGTTTATTTAGGTTTTTTTTTTGGTGGTTACAAGGTCGGACGAATTGACTGATCCCAAT